TTCTTGTCTCTCCCAGGGTGTCAGTCGGTCATGCTCTCTCCGAAGGCCCTTGAGGAAGACCCCTTCTTGTCTCTCCCAGCTTCTGGTGCCCGAGGCAGCCCTTAGCTTGCAGCTGGGAGGGCCCTGAGGGGACATCTGGGAGGAATGAAGGGCTGCTGGCAGGGCTGCCCCTTACCATGTACAACCACACACCTCCCACATGACATTGTTTAGGGGGTCCCAGCCCCGGGATTGCCGGCAGGGAGCAGGGTTGTCAATGAAGTGCCCCCAGTTTTGAGAGGGGGTTCCCAGAGCTTGTTCCCCACACTGGGCATCCCAGGAGAAAATGCACCGCACTTCTGGAGCAGAGGGAGGGATGAAGGGGGGTGTGAGAGGTGGTGGGGTGCGATAGGGCTGCAGAGAGAAAAGTGGGGAGCAAGGAAGAGACGCTGCAGGCTCAGACAGGGGCGACTCCTAGGCAGGGGGAGGCAGGGCCGGGAGAGGGCAGCCCTCTGGGCCTCGAGCTCCAGGCCTGGCCCGGGAAGGTTAGCAGAGGGCCCAGGCCACCTCCGCAAGCCTCTCTCCAACCTAATCCCTAAGCTCTGGCCACTCAAAATAGCACAACATCCTGTCCCCTGGAGTCTCAGCTATCTGGTGCTGCTATAACAGAAATACCACACGTGGGTGGCTTTAGCAAACGGAAATTTATTTTCTCACAGTTTAGGAAGCTAGAAGTCCAAATTCAGGGCACCAGCTCTAGAGGAAGGCTTTCTTTTTGTGCTGAGTGGGTTCTGACTCATAGCCACCCTATGTACAATAGAACAGGACACTGCCTGGTCCTGCGCCATCATCACAATCATTGCTAAGCCTCTGTGTCAATCCATCTCGCTGAGGGTCTGCTCTTTCTTGCTGACCTTCTACCTTACTTTCCATTTCAGAGCCACTTAGAGAGCTACAGGACCCACGGGGTGTCCCAGAGCAGGTGACTCATCTGTGAGCATCAGTGGGGCCCTTTCTTGCCAAGAAGAAGTGAGCCATGGTGAATCACGTACTCTAAGCCTTGACATGGGACCCAGATACATTGAAAACTCCACCACAGTATTCAGGAACATTCTGTGCAAAGTTTGCTTAGGGACCCAGAATAGAAAAGTTCTAGCCAAAAAAAGGATAATTATTCAGTTACTTGAGAACTGAAAATAGAGGGTTAAAGCAAGAAGATTTTTTCTAGATGATTTCAGGCCCGTCAGTCAGTACTGTGTTCCCTTGGGCAGGAGAAGGCCTGGGCTCCAAGGGGGTTCTTTCTTTTAGCGCATTGTCGCTGACAGAGCTCACGGTATTTATTGAAAGTTTCAGCTGTCACTTCTGTACAAATAAAAAGGATGAAGTGGGCAGCGACCGCACGTAAGAGATATTTTTAGGTGTGGACGGCCTTACAAACTGGAAGGATAACATTTCGAGGAGAGAGCGCCTGATCCCAGAATAGCCCACCACATTCAGCCTCAGCGTATGGCCGGTTGTCTTGGCTTCCTGGGTCAGGGACTTTGCTGTTGCAGACGGCCATCTCAGAGATGACAACACCTCCTTCCAAAGGCATCTCAGCTCTCCTCCTGGGGCCACAGGGGACAGGGGGACATTGTTCGGGATCAGCTGTCTCCCAATGAGTCTATAAAACCAGGTGCCGTGAAGTGGACTCCAACTCATGCTGACCCCATGTATGTCAGAGTAGAATGATGCTCCATAGGGTTTTTGCAAGTAGATTGCCAGACTTTTTTTCTGAGATGCCTCGGGGTGGACTCAAACCTCCATCCTTCCAGTTAGCAGCTGAGCGCTTTAACCATCTGCACCACCCAGGGACTCTGGAATGAAGAATACCAAACCCGACCTGTTGCCTTCGAGTCGATTCTGACTCATAGCAACCCTATAGGACAGAGTAGAACTGCCCCCTAAGGTTTCCAAGGAGTGGGCGGTGGATTCGAACTGCCGACCTTTTGGTTAGCAGCCAAGCTCTTAACCACTGCGCCACCAGGGAGTGAAGAACGGGGGCTGTTAATTCAGTTTACTACAGAGAGGAGGGGGCTGGGTTACGGAGATCCACGGTTTCCCTTGAAACGCACCCATCCGGGAGGCCTTGCCTCATCCTCCCTGGGTTAGAGGAGGGAGAGAGGCCGGGTTTGTGCTCAGGGGGGTCCCCCTCAAGCGGAAGGACAGACACACGGGGCTGAGATGTCTGCTATGTGCTGAGTACTATTCTAGGCACCAAGATTACAGGTGTGAACAAAACAGACACAAATCCTGTCCCTCTGGCACTCACAGCCACTGAACAAAATAAATGCGTAAGGCCGTGCAGCAAAAGGTGGTAAGTGCTGCAGAGAAAAGTCCAGCAGGGGCGGGGGAGATGGGGGGCTGGGGGCACTGGAAAGGTTGGCATCTTCATTTCTTACAGCTGCTGTGACAAACGACCACAAATTGGGGGGCTTAAAACAATGGAAATTTATCCTCTTGCAGTTCTGGAGACTGGAAAGCAAGGTGTCAGAGGGCCGTGCTCTCTCTGAAGGCTCTAGGGGAGAGTCCTTCCTTGTCTCTCAGCTTCTGGTGGCCCCACACGCTCTTTGGCCTGCAGCCCCATCAGCTTCTGGTGGCCCCACACGCTCCTTGGCCTGCGGCCCCATCAGCTTCTGGTGGCCCCACACGCTCCTTGGCCTGCGGCCCCATCACTCCATCTCTGCTTCTGTCTTCACGTGGCTGTCTTCCTGGTGTGTCTCTCCATCTCTGTGCCTTTTCTCCTCTTTTCATAAGGACCTAAGGTCTCTGAGTGGCTCAAAGGGTTTGCTCTTGACTACTAACCTAGAAAAAGGAACCCTGGTGGTGCAGTGATTAAGTGCTCGGCTGTTAACTGAAAGGTTGTTGGTTCAAACCCACTAGCCGCTCCACAGGAGAAAGATGTGGCAGTCTGCTCCGATAAAGATTACAGCCTTGGAAACCCTATGTGGGCAGTTCTGCTCTGTCCTATAGGGTTGCTATGAGTTGGAATCAACTCGACGGCAACAGGTGTGCTTTGGGGTTGTGTACTAACCCAGAGGTGGGTGGGTTGAACCCACCTGGCAGCACCTTCAGCCTTCAGTATGGATTACACCTCAACATAAAGAAAACGAAAACCCTCACAACTGGACCAATAAGCAACATCATGATAAACAGAGAAAAGACTGAATTTGTCAAGGATTTCATTTTACTTGGATCCACAGTCAACGCCCATGGAGCAGCCGCCAAGAAATCAAAGCTGCTACTAGGGAAGCCAAGATCGAGAAGGGGAGAGTGTTGACATGTCGTGGGGTTGGTAACCAATGTTATAAAACAATATGTGTACTTATCGTTTAATGAGAAGCTACTCTGTTCTGTAAACCTTCATCTAAAGTAGAATAATAAATAAATAAATCGAACAACGTATTGCATTGGGCAAAGAAAGTGCCGTCTTGGAAGAAGTACAGCCAGAATGCTCCTTAGAAGCAAGGATGGCGAGACTTCATCCCACATACTTTGGAGATGTTATCAGGAGGGACCAGTCCCTGGAGAAGGACATCATGCTTGGTAAAGTAGAGGGTCAGCAAAAAAAGAGGAAGACCCTCAATGAGATGGACTGATACGGTGGCAGCAACAGTGGGCTCAAGCATAACAAGGACTGTGAGGACGGCGCAGGACCAGGCAGTGTTTCGTTCTGTTGTCCACGGGGTCACTGTGAGTAGGAACTGATCCGGTGGCACCTGACAACCACCGCAACAGTCAAGTGCTAAAAAGCAAAGGTGTCACCTTGAGGACTAACGTGTGCCTGTCCCAAGCTGTGGTATTTTCAATCATCTCATATACATGCGAAAGCTGGACAGTGAATAAAGAAGACTCAAGACGAATTGATGCCTTTGAATTATGGTGTTGGATATATTGACTATACCATGGACTGCCAGAAGAACAAAAAATCTGTTTTGGAAGAAATATAGCCAGAATGCTCCTTAGAAGCGAGGATGGCGAGGCTTCGCCTCACCTGCTTTGGACACGTTATTGCGAGGACCAGTCCCTGGAGAAGGACACATGCTTTGTAAGGTAGAGGGTCAGCAAAAAAAAGTAAGACGCTTGAAGAGATGGACTGACACCGTGGCTGCAGCAGTGGGCTCCAACAGCAATGATTGTGAGGATGGCGCAGGACAGGGCAGTGTTTTGTTCTGTTGTCCATACAGTCACTGTGGGTCAGAAGTGACTCCGTGGCGTCTAGCAGCAATAGCGGCACTGGGGAAGAAAGGCATGCCGATCTGCTGCTGTAAAGGGTAAAGCCAGGGAAACCCTGTGGAGCAGTTCTACTCTGTAACACGTGGGGTCGCCAGGAGTTGGAAGTGACTCGACATAATGGGTTTGGTTTTGGCTTTTCATAAGGACCCCAGTCATACAGGATTAGGACCCACGATACTCCAGTATGATGTCAGGTTAACTTAACTAATAACATCTTCAAAGACCTCCTTTCCAACCAAGGTCACGTTCAGAAGTACCAGGTATTAGGACTTCAACATGTCTTTTTGGGGACACAATTCAGCCTTTAACAGGTGGTGTGGGGGTCCTCATGGCGAGTCCCATAGACACCTGGGGGAAGGGTGTTCCAGGCTGAGGGTGGACCATGCTTGGGTGACGGAGGACAGTGAGGGGCAGGAGAGGCTGACGCTCTGTCTACCTTGAAGGGCGGTGCCCTGGGCTGCCGTCGGAAGACGCCTTGCTCCCCCCTTCCCACGCTGTCACGTGTCTGGCCCCACAGCCCCTAAAATCCCAGGGCTGGGAGGGACGCCCCTCAGCCCCAGCTCTCCTTCCAGGGTCTGGGCACATGCAGGACTTCCGGGAAGCCCCCACAGGTGCCTTCCAGGGCCCTCACCTCCAGAGCCAGGCACCACGTTGGTGCTGGGCCTGGCAGGAAGCTGTGTAGGAGCCGAGCGGCAAGCCCCACTGCCGTCTAGAACTGATGGCTTCTTTTCCGTCTGCAGGAGCTACGGGGAGCTCACGGACTGCACCAGACACGTGGCCGAGAAGCTGCGCTGCTTCTGGCCGAACCCCGAGGTGGACCGCTTCTTCATCGCCGTCCACAAGCACTACTTCAGGAGCTGCCCCGTGTCCGGCCTGGCCGTGCGGGACCCGCCCGGCAACATCCTGTGCCCCTTTGTCGTGCTGCCCATCATGGTCACCCTGGTTGTGACAGTGCTGGTGGCCTGGAGGAGCAGGCGCCAGGAAGGCATCGTGTAGGTGGGCGCAGCTGCCCCCAGGCCAGGGCGCCCTCTGCACACAGAGGGAGGCCGGGTAGGGCCAGGAGCCCCGGGCCTGCCCAGCGACAGCGTCTGGGCCCTTCCAGCAAGGCATGCCCCAAGCCCCCCTCTTCCCCCAGCCGAGGAGAGCTGCAGGATTTCAGAGGGTCCCTAGCCCAGGCATTCACCTTGAGTGACCCCGAAAGGGCAGCCGAGGTACTCAAAGGTAGGGGGCGTCACTGTCGTTTATTTCTGAGGAAGAGTCCCAAGCTCTGCTTCTCCCGATGTGCTTATAAACCACCGCGGCTGTGTTCCCACCTCCGGCCGGACTGCTTACCCGAGACACTGTTTGTGGATGAAGAGTTTGTGATTAAAAGGCTCTTCTTAAATGTGCAAAGGTCCTTCTTTCTTAATGTCTACATTGGGAGTGTGGGGCATTGGTGGCTCAGTGCTAGATCTGTTGCCTTCCACACAGGAGACCTGGGTTCGATTCCTGGCCAATGCACCTTACACGCAGCCGCCACCCGTCTGTTAGTGGAGGCTTTTGTGTTGCTATGATGCTGAACTGGTTTCAGCGGAGATTCCAGACTAAAACAACTAGGAAGAAAGGCCGGGTGACCTACTTCCAAAAATAAACCCATGAAAACCTCATCAATCAGTCCAACTCGCAACCGATCACAGGGATGGCGCAGGACCCGGCAGCGTTTTGTTCAGTCGTACATGGGGTCGCCATGAGTCCCGGGCGGCAGCTAACAACACCACATTGGGAGAAGTAGGGTGGGGGCAGAAACACCAGGCCCTTGACATTCTGGTTTTCTCCAGCAGGAGGCACCCCTCCCCTCACAGGGACCTTTGGCGGGGGACGATGTCGGTGAGGCCCCCATGTAGGTGACGTGCTGTATGTATGTTGACGCCGCCCCCTGTGATTCTCATAGCCCTCCATTGCACTTCACAGGCTAGAACCCCTTCTTGGAGGACTGAGCCCACAGATTTGAAAAACTGGGTTCCTTCGGTTTACCAGGGTCCCTCCCAAGAAAGCTTCTGCTCTCACAGGCCTGGCAGCCCTGTCTGGACTCTCATCACCCCAGTCCCTGGGGGGGTCTCCCTTCTCTCCTCTGCAAGGCAGCATCACCCAAAGGCCGCCCACTTACAGCCAAGCTTCCCAGAGGTCTGGATCCCGGAAGGGAGCCCCCAACGGCCCCTCCAGATGTCCTCGGAGCTGACCCAGTTCTCAGGTCCCTGCACCCCCAGTCGCCCACCATGCACCCTCTCTGCCCTCCAGCCCTCCTTGGATGGCTAACTGGGGTGTCCTCTACCCAGCACCCTGAGGGCAGCCACCCCCCCACACATCAGGAGGTTCAAGGCCATCCCTTCTGGACTGTCCAGCTTCAGCTCACCGCTATGTGGGGTCACCCCCCATCCCCCAGCCAAGCCTGGTATGGCCCGGGCTACAACACCCTTCCTCCCTGGATGTCTCTTCCCCTCGCCCCTCCCCCCAGGCTGTCCCCAGGGACTCGCACCCACTAGGCAGAACCCAAGGAGGCCTTGGGGGCTTTTAAAGGAAAATGGCACCACCGGCCAGAGGGGCCCTGGGTCAGGCTTCTCGGAGCTTCTCCAAGGAAACTCGGCTCAGGAAAAGCAGGAGAGCAGGGTCACGGCCTGGGGTGCATCCTGTCTGTTGGGGAGCAGGGTGCGGCTCCTGACCAGCAAGGATTCCAGCATCTACATGGGGTCACAGGCTGGGGTTGGCACCGTCAGGCAAGTTTGTCACCAGGGTAAACAGCTGTGAGCAAAGGAGGAGGAGAAAGGAAGGCGCAGGTGAGGACGTGCAAGGCTGCCGCAGGGCCGAAGGAGGTAACGCAAAGCCATGGGGGCGAGCCCGGCCTCAGCACCCCACCGCCCCTCAGTCACGGGCAGGGCACCTTGGCACGTGTGGCCCCGCGCCACCAGGAACGGATCTCAGAGCTGGGAGCCGGGCCCTGGGTCACTCCTGTCCCGTGCAGTTGAAGGTCGGTGAGGCCATCCTCAGGACACCACCCAAAGTCATCAGGTGGGCCCAGAGCCGGGCAGGTACTACGTGCCCAGAGGTTATTATTAGGATGCTCTCAGACAGAACAGACTGTGTGACGCCATCACTTTACAACTCTCCCAGCTAACAGAGCAGAACAGGCGAGGGATGATTCTAAAGAATCTGTATCTGACTTTGTCATTGCATTTGAGTACACATGGAGGCTATTCCTGACTCACGTGGCTGCAGGAGCTGACGAATCCAAGGTCAGCAGGTCAGAGGGCAGGCTGCTGGCTCATGCGCTGAGCAGGCTGACGAATCCCAAAGCCGGAGGTCACATGATGATGAGCCGAATGAAGGATCCAGAGCCAACTTGGAAGGGGTACAGCCAGAATGCGCCTTAGAAGCAAGGATGGTGAGACTTCGTCTCACATACTTTGGACATGTTATCAGGAGGGACCAGTCCCTGGAGAAGGACATCATGCTTGGTAAAGGAGAGGGTCAGTGAAAAAGAGGAAGACCCTCAATGAGATGGATTGACACAGTGGCTGCAACAATGGGCTCAAGCATAACAACAATCTTGAGGATGGCGCAGGACTGGGCAGCGTTTCATTCTGTTGTACATGGGGTCACTATAAGTCGGAACCGCTTGATGGCACCTAACAACAACAATATACGTGTACCTGATCTGGAAATTCACTTTCAGTAAAAGAGTTAGCTCTGCTGTGGAGGCTAGGAGGACCAACAAAGCTTTCCGTGTTCCCCATGTCCTTGTCACCCCGTGTTTCGGCAGTTCACGCAGCCATTGCCTGGACCCTACCCACCCAGGGAGCCCTCTGCCGGGGTCACGCAGACACGGCATCATTAGCATAGCAGAGGGAACCCCATTCCACAGCAGGGTCACGTCCACAGGTACAGGGATCGGGACTCCAGCACACATCTTGGGGGACACAGTCAATCCATAACAGTGGCCCGCTCCTGCACCGCCTGGGCAGCCGCCACCCTTGGCCACCTGTATGCCGCAGGACTGGCCTCTGGGGGCTCCTCCCCTCAGCTGGGGCTGTTGAGTAGGCGGTTGACTTTTAAAGGAAAGTGAATTTCTAAGATGACCCGCAAATCGTTCCTGGACGCGCTATTCTGAGAAGTCCTTCTGCTGAAGCCATGTGGGCAAGAGACCCGAAGGGGTCTGACCCCGCGCTGTCGCAGGACAGGGTGGATGCCTGCCAGGGTCACACGGAATGACTCCGGGCACCCCCAGCTGCGTTGGAGGAGCAGTGGGTCTCCTCAGGCCCACCCACCTCCGGGAGCCAGTGTGGGGCGGGGAGGGCAGGGCGGCCCTGGGGGCTGCCCACGGTGGGGCCCACTCAGGCCCCTTGCCGCCCCTGCCTACCTGTGTCCCAGGGGCTACTGGGAAGTGGAATCCCTGGGCTGTGCAAACTGTTTGTACTTGGCTACTAACCTAAAGGTTGGCAGTTCAAATCCGCCCAGCGGCACCTGGGAAGCAAGGCCTGGTAATCTGCTTCGGTAAAGATTATAGCCAAGAAGACGCTATAGAGCACAGTTCTACCCTGTAACACGTGGAGTTGCCAGGAGTCGGAACCGGCTCGATGGCAATGGGTTTGGTTGGGTTTGGTTTATTTGGGAAGTGGAGGAGGGGCAAAGGCGAAGTGCAAACTCCCCACAAACTACCACCCACTGGTTTTCGCCCCACTTTACAACCTGACTTCATAGCTCCTCCCCACAAGGGTGCTGAGGGGGGCCCGTGATCTCAAGAGCTGCTCCACCTTGGACCCTTGCACGGACAACCCTGGGGGCCTGCTTGGAAGCAGGGCCACCTTCTTTAAGCTGAGGCACTTTGGGCTTCTTGGACAGTTGAGGGAGGGGGCCCTGTCAGGAGAGCCTGGAATTCCTGCTAGGCTAGCTGGAGAGGCTGAGGACAGCTTTAACCTGAAGAGGAAAACTGGGGGTCCCCGGGTGGCACCAACGGTTAAGTACTCCACTGCTAGCCGAAAGGTTCACGGTTCGAAGCCACCCACAGCCACCTCGGAAGACAGGCCTGACAATCTGCTTCCAAGAGGTCACAGTCTTGAAAACCCTATGGAGCACAGTTCTACTCTGCACAGGTGGGGTCGCCATGAGTCAGAATTGACTCGACAGCAATGAACAACAGCGAGATCGACTGGCCTTATTTGTATCCAAGCTGGAGAAATGGCCCCCCTCCAGAACTTTGCTATGGCAATTGTTAGAAAAAAATCATTAGGAAGTCCAAGAACCCAAAAACGCAAGAAAGAGAAGGAGTTCAGTAACTGGGAGACGCAATTGGCCATCGCGTGCTATTGCTTCCAGAGCTGCTCATATTAATGAGCTCCCCGGGATAAGACTGCTTTGGAGACAGTGTTTCCGGTAAGCCAAGAAGTGGTTCTGAATCGAGTTAATCTTCAAAGAAAGGGCATTCCTGTCAGATACCCAACTTAGCAGGGAGCAGGCTGCCTGGGAGATGGGAAGGGGAGGGGAGGCAGCCCAAGAATGCAGAAGGAGCCTGTGACAGAACATGTTATTCCTTCTGCAAAACAAGCCCTGAGCACCCAGGGGAAGCAAATTGCCTCTTGCTCACCAAAAACGAAAACCAGTTCAGTCTCCCTGGAGGACCCTCTAGAAATATGCACCAAAAGTATTAAAATGTGTATTCCCAGGAATTTCGCTTCCAGGAATTTATTCCAGGACACAAGCAGAGATGTGCAAAAGGACATGTGTGGAATGAGCTTCACCTGGAGTTATTTATAAGCGCAAATGAGTGAAAGAGCTCCGTGCCCGACGTTAGAGGGCCGTTAAAGTAGATTAAACCCAGATGACGGAAAAAAATGTTTCCTAAAATGAAGTGCATGGGAAATTTTTTCTCGTCGTATAGCATTGACTGGGGAAAGCAGATTATGAAACAGGGAAGCGAGATGATCTCAGTTTGGGCGAGTGTGTGTAAACACATTGCCCAGGCCATATTGAAGTGAAGGCAGATTGTACACTGCAATTGTGGTTACCACACACTACAGCTCAGATCTAGCTGCCACATCACAATTATTGGGACATCATCTCCCGGTCACGGAAGGCCGCCTGATGCCACAGTTAGCAGTCTTGGTGTAGACTCAAGCTTTAAAAAAAAAAAAAAAGAAAACTTGCTGTCGAGTCAGTTCCAACTCATGGTGACCCCATGTGTGTCAGAATGGAACTGTGCTCCATAGGGCTTTCAATGGCTGGTTTTTCAGAAGCAGATTGCCGGGCTGTGGTGCAGTGAATTACTTTAATATAGCATTTCTAGCCATGGTCTTGTGACTCCACAAAAT